TATAATTATATTATATGTAATTTTATATTACTTCGGTCATCTATCTGTTGACACTACAGATCTCTAGATTCCAATAAATACTTATTCATACAGTTTTTGTAAAATATGTATTTTTAATCTGGCTTCATTGTGGGCGTGGCAACTAGTAAGTAAATAAGACATCTACAAACGATATTTAAAACTTTGTTTGGACTTTGAAGGAGTATTATGGAGTTGGTTGTGCTTGACTAAATTATTCGTATTTGTTTCTCTTTAATCCTCTGTTTCTATTTATTGTCTTCTGTCCATGTAGTAGTTTGCATAAGAACTTAAATACTTATATGCATAATCTCACTTCAAAATATTTTTCCATTTCTGTTTCGAATTTTAGTTATTGCTGGAATTACTAATTTTATAAAGCTTTCTTTCAATGCATTTGTATCAGTTTATTTACGACTGCAACTCCGCGAATAACTCTCAGCGCTAAGCTGAGCAAACTCATAAAGGGGAAAAAAATTAAATTAAGAGTTTATTTGGCTTGTGTGTAATCAATTAATTTTGATTTGATTTTAATTTGTAGTTGTCTGTTTGTCGTAGTAATGAAGTACTCCATTGGGCTGGAATATTTCTTGACTTTCTAAGGACTCACCTCATTCACCATGCTGAAACGACTCTGGGCCAAGTGGGTGGTGCAGAGGAACTTGAAGACCATTAGGCTGATATTGATGTGGGGCAGCGCGAATGCCGTGAAGGTGACAAAGGATGGCGAAATGGTGGCGCTGACCAGCAGCCCATAGCTGACACACATGTAGACAACGTTGAAGATCACAATGCCCATGGAGATGAGAAAGGTGAAGAGGAGGATACGGCGATAGTCCAGCTTCATGCCCAGGCGCACAAAGATCTCGTCCACGATGATATTGTTTTGTATAATGCTGACTAACCGCTGGCGCTTGAACATAGCGAATCCAAAGATGGTGCACATGGCTATGATGCCAGTGAGGCGCAGTGTGCCATCGCCCAGTTTGGTGATGTTCGTCTGGAAGAAGTAGCCGATGATGGAGTCGCCCTCGCGTATGGATGCCACAAAGCACAGCACAAAGAAGAGGAAGTGCACAATGCCAGCTATGAAGGAATACGACGAAGTGTGCACCTCCTTGTCCGAGTTGAGGTTCAGCTGGAACGGTGCCAGGCCCACCAGCGATATATAGGTGAGCGGACGCAGCGATTGGAATACATTATCCGCCTGTGACATGCGCTTCAACACCTTCAAAACCATATCGAATCCAAGTTTGGTCTGCCGTGTCGCGAATCCACGTTAGGTCACCTCGCGCGCTCGCCGCTAACTAAATGCGAAATTGCTGTAGGTCGTCAGGCTGGGTCATATGTCAGCATCGTTAGCGTAACTGGAACAGAAGTCGTTTGGACAACTGGACGGCTTAATAAGCTAATATCAATATCGGTAAATATTTAATTACGCTTAAATGCGTAGCATAGCGTCAGGTGCTGCTTAGCAAGTGCAACAAGTTATTTACGAAATATATACAGGTGTGTATGTGTGCGTGTAATTATGTATATGCTAGAGCCTATGTCACCAATACATACCAAATTCCATGACTGAAAGAGTATAAACAAATTTGTGGACGACTTTAATGGATTATGCATATGAAAAGTGCTTCAAGTTCATCTGATTTTAAATTATTTGTATAGCTTTATATAAATATATATTTTTTATTTAAAATTTTAATGTTACAATATGGATTTTTTAACCATTAACGTTTGCGAATTTTAAAATGATTTCGTACACATAGTTATCTTTTTTTTTCATCTTTTCTTATGTATTAAAATATTTAATTTTAATTTTACTTTGAATGAAAATCGAAACAGTTCGCAATTTTTTCTTTTGGCAAGTTTTTGAAATGAAATTATTTTGGATCAATTGAAAAAGATTGTTTTGGGTTTGATTTAAGGTTTATTTCATCGTTAGCTGAAAAGTAAATTGTACTTTTAGAGTGGGAAATTCTTGCTGTATATTTTTATGTATATAAATATATGGTCTTCCTTCATATACATGTATATAAAACTCTATTTCCACTCAATGTTTACTTTATAAACTAAAGTAACAGGGGTAATAAATATAGAGTTTTATTATATCTGCAAACGGTTTTTCTTAATATTAACAAAACATTCCAACTATTTTTTGTAATTAATTAGCTTAATTGAACGAACAGGGATATTCATTTCCGTGCTACATTTTACACTAATAAAAAAGCTGTCGCCATAAGTTAATTTTTACTAGATAAAAAAGTGTATGTAAAATTTAAGAAATAATCCAATAAGAATTGTTATACAATGTCTATTTTGTATAACAATACAAATATTATGTATAAAAACATTTGGTATATGTTTGAAAATGGATTTAGCCTTTAGCATATTATATGCTTTTCATTCATTTGCGTTATATTACTTTTGTTATATTTCATCCAATTTTCATGTCAATCTTTGTACAAAAGGGGCATCTGCTGTCTGCCATGATTAATTAGTTAAAGCTATCGACACCATAATATAAATTATGCCTCATTTGCTGCCAGATGCCATATAATCAGCTCAATAAATTTCTTCATTTATTGCTACTAATAAATAGATCTATGAAAAATACATTGATAATACATGCAAAAGCAACAACATCGAATTAAACTGCTTAATATTATTGCCCCAAAAAACCCTTGGACGTAACATCGACAAGTGATTTCACCAGCTCCAGATTCGGCTCGACAAACCGTCCGTCCTGCCACTAAACGGTATGATTCGTCATATTATGATACGCTTCGCAACAGTCGAAGCCGCTGCTGTTCTCATTACTAGGCGAATTAGATGTGAACTGTAGTAATATAATGAGGTATGTGGTCAAAGCGCCGCTGATCTGAAAAATTGAGTAAAATAAATAATTTGTTTAAAAGTAAATTTTGAAATGTGAAAAGAAAATATGGTATAAATAAGTTGTAAGTAAGATATATATGTAATTAAGTTTAAAGTAGAAAAAATCAATCTTGTATAAGATGAAGAAATTTTATAAAATTTTATTTAAATAATTAAAATTGAACATAGAATATAAATATGACGGTATATATGATAAACAAATTTTAAATAAT